GTCACCTGAGCAGGCAGGGACAATCAACAATAAAAGCAGATGCTCTAAAGCTGGCCATGCCATATACACATGGATAGTATAGATCACGCAAGGAACACAACAGATTAAATGGATAAATTCCCTCCGCTGGGATATTGCACCGCCCTGACAGCCAGCACCCACTGCTATCCGAATACCCAAACCGTGCCAGCATCTCATTGGCTGCAGTCACTTTTTGTCCAACAATTTTCCGCCTGGCTTATTCAACACAGGCAATTGAAAAATCAACTTTTGGTGAGCGAGTGGTGCCAGCAGGGCCATCCACTGCTGGCACCACTCAGAGGTGAATTGGTCAGAGGTGAATTGGTCAGCAGGAATCGGATGAAATTCAAGAGGATTTTTTTTTTAATGTCCCTGTTGGCAAGATTTTCCTTCACTTCCTGTCCTGACTTTTAACTCCTTTAGGGCTTGTTTCCACCAACATGTGCACTGATCGTACTGTCCCGTGCCTGGAACGCAAGAGATCGCACACACAAGGTCTCCTTGCGTTCTGAGGTGGGTGAGGGTGTGGCAGTGCCATTAATGTCAATGGCACTGCAGACACGCCCCCCGCCCGCAGTGCGATCGACAGCACATGACCGCGTGGTAAAACAATGCCCTGCGTTCCAGTGCGGTACGATCGCAAAAAATAGGAGACTTTGTGTATGCGATCCCTTGCATTTCAGGCATGGGACAGTACTATAAGCGCACAGGCTGGTGGAAACAGGCCCTTACGACATAGTTGAGTACTGATGTACAAAGGTTTTAGAAAATATACATTTTGCTATAGATTTATGTATCCTACTGACTCTGGCCAAAATTTAAGCAGTGTGCGGCCCTGATAGAACCCCCGACATTTGACAAAAGCCAATGTTATCTATGGGGTCAGAACCCTTGACTCTGCTCCAAAAGAAATGTGATAGAACGCTCAGATGTGAACAGGGGCCATTGAAAACGATGGGAGTCCTTCTGTTGAGCGGTGTAGCTACAAAATGCTCAGGAGCGAATGGGGTCTAAAGGTCAATACAAGGGTCAATGCAAGTAAATGCAAGGGTCAATACAAGGGTGAATGCAAGTAAAAGCAAGCTCAATGCAAATAAATGCATGGGTCAGTGTAAGGAAATGCAAGGGTCAATGCAAGAAAGTGCAAGGGTCAATGCAAGAAAATGCAAGGGTCAATGCAAGAAAATGCAAGGGTCCATGCAAGTAAAAACAAACCCAATGCAAATAAATGCAAGGGTCAATGCAAGAAAATGCAAGAAAATGCAAGGGTCAGTGCAAGGGTAAATGCAAGAAAATGCAAGGGTCAGTGCAAGGGTCAATGCAAGATAATGCAAGGGTCAGTGCAAGGGTCAATGCAAGAAAATGCAAGGGTCAGTGCAAGGGTCAATGCAAGAAAGTGCAAGGGTCAATAAAGCCTATTGTCAAAGCTCTGTCCATTGGTTCCCGCACATCATTGAAGTTTGAAGTGAACATTGAGTATATATTTCTATCCCTCTCAAAAAGCACTTGAGATAAGGCAATAAAAAATGTCAGATTGACAAATTATTGTGTCGTATTCCCGTTGCTGAAACAGACTTTTGACGTAAAATGGAATATTCAAATCCAAAAATTTGCTTAGGAACTAAAATTTGCCCTCTGGGTAAAATTTTCCTGTTATATCCCTGAAGAAGCAATGGTCCATTTCTCACCCTCTGACTTTTTTGTTTTCTAGGTGCCCCATTTCAGCGATCTCAGCATACTCACGCTACCTCCTGCCGCCACTTTCACCTGAGCCCTCAACCCCAGCTCCCGGACTTCCCCCTACACCATCACCCGGTCCAGCCGCAGCAGGGCATGACATCACATATGGCTACTGCACACCAGCATAATGGAGCACTGCACCAGCCTCTGCCACCTCTGCCTGGCCTACCGTTCCAAGAGGTGGCCGGACCCTCCTTCCTACCTCAGGCCCTACACCAGCAATACCTCCTCCAGCAACAGCTCCTCGAGGCTCAGCACCGCCGGATGGTTCCACACCACAGGTATGCTATACCAAAGCCACAGGGATGATAGGGGCACACCAGCATAAGGAGAAGGAGGCATGTCAACTCCTTTGCCTCCAATATTTGTAACAAAGCAGAGCCAAAGTCAGAAATGAACTTAAAGGAGAACTATGAGGGGAGTGAAAATCACTCATCCTCATAGTTCGACCCGACATGTGACAATGAAACTGTCACACGTCGGCTCAATAGATCGGGAAGTGAGTGAACACATACTGTCGCTCGCTCACTTCTCGATCATCGCCCTGCAGAGAGCCGTGGCTGTCACTCACGGCTCCCTGCAGGGATTCCCCTCCCCGCTCCGATCCTCCAGCGCTAACTGGAGGAAAGGACAATGGGAAGGGGCGGGTACAGCTTGCTCTGCCTCTTTATAGGCAGAGCCAGCTGTCACTAACGCAGCTGGGTGGATCTTGACAGTATTGTCAGGATCCGTCCCGGCTGTGGCGGTATCAGTATACCGCGAGCTGTAGCTTCCTATATACTGAGCTTTTGGTCACGGGAGGACGCTAGTATATGTCCTCCCGTGACCCTTAAGAGACCTATGGCGAAGAACACTTAGCCCATAGTTCTCTTTTAAAGTGTGTTTCCACATTTGCAGCCAAATTGGGATAACACCTAGTTTATCATTGTTACATGTTGCCATTCACAAAACATAACTTAAAAACTGTATTTTGAAAGTGCTGCTTTCCTTTTATTTGCTCTTTTTTGAAAAGCCCTGTAGCACTCATCCCCCCAAAGGAACCGCTGGAATAACCCGGGTCATCAATAGCCTGTCTAGGGATTTTAACAACCAGCTGCCCCACTAGCAATAACCGCCCACTTCTCTGATATCCAGGCCAGAAGTATGATGCTGAAGAACTTTATTAATAAATTCACACTGGGAGAGAGGGTATAGGGATCCTAGACACCAAGGGTCAAGCAGACACAGACTACAGACTCACCAGTCCCTTTTTGGTATTTCAGTGTAGATCCATTTGCAGTACAGATGAATAGGGATTGGCACAGAATCTTCAATAGGAGAAACACCAGACCTGCTCCTCAGGTCTTCTATACTCCAGGCACCTCCAGCAGCCATCAGCTTCCCTGGTTCTCCTCCTCAATTAGCAGCAAAGGCATTTGTCACAGAGGTGAAACAGAAGACCCGATCATCCAGCGGCTCCTTCGGGGGTGAGCGCTACACATTCACCAGGCTTGAGGCCTAATAGCCTTTTCCACACTCAGGTGTTCCCACCCCCAGGCCTCAGGCCCGGCCTGGGGCAGGCTGGAGAGCACCCAACATGGACGAATCCATGGCTGGAACCGCACTGAGCACATGGCTCAGTGACTATATATTAGACATGTGCACTGCCAAAAAATTCGTTTCGTTTTAAATTCGGATTTGTGTTATTTCATTTTTCGGGATTCGGGTGTGAAAGTCAATTCGGATTCGGAATTCGGATTCGGACGAATTTCGGTAGCGTTAGTACGAACGTTCGTTTCGTTTTCTGTTCTTACTCGTTTCTTCGTTTCTTATTCGTTTCTTATTCGTTTGCAGCAAAAGTGACATTTGAGGGGGAAAAAATATTTTTCTCCTTCTCTAATGTCACTTTGCTCCAACAAACGAAACGAATAAGAAACGAATAAGAACAGAAAACGAAACGAACGTTCGGGCGAACGCTACCGAATTTCGGAAATGGAAATTCGGATTCGTATGCATTCGTTATGTCTGTAATTCGGAATTCGGATACATCCGAATGTCCGAATTTACGAAAATTCGTCCGAATTTCGATTCGGAACGAAACGAATCGCACATGTCTACTATATATGCCCTGTCCCAGCATGCAACATTGGCTGTGAGGGCCCCAGTGATTGGCTGGTGAACTGCACACACTCACAGTGCCCCTCATTGGCTGTCCCAACACTGCAGCAAAGTCACACTCCACCCAGGCAGGTACAATCAATGTCAGAACACCTGGAATTAACCAGATAAATGCCAACTAAACTGCCAATTCAGCAAGACTGACTACAGCCCTGGCAATCACTACATTTCTTGTAGCCACCTCCCAAAGGTGATGGGGGCTACACTCCCAAACTGAATTTTCCTCTGCTGTGCAAAGGGGGCTGGGGAGTTCTTGTTTACCATAATCAAATGTATCTGTCCTGTGCTAGCAGATCTCAGTATCAGACACTGTTGACCATAACAAAGGGTTAAGATCTAGAAGCTTGGCTTCTGCATTGTATGTGAATGAGAGGAAACTCAGTTTGTCCCTCATCGTTGTCTGGGGACGGACTCATGTTGACATGGTTCAGAATAGCTGCCCAAATGTCTGCTGTGGTGAAACCACAAATCCCATAATGCCTCTGCCTCTGGGAGTCATGCCTGTGCCTGTCAGAGGATTGCAATGCCTCATGGGACTTGTAGCTCCATACCTCTAAAGTGCTGAAGTTGCCTACCCCTGAATTAAAGGTGAGAAACATTTAAAAAAGTATATGCTGGGCATGAGAAGCCATAACAAACATATAGTGAGGTTTTCTCCAGTATGGCTGGGCTATTGGTTAGCACTCCTTGCAACACTGGAGTCCTTAGTCCAAATCCCAACCAGGACACTACCTGCATGGAGTTTATATGCATTTTATATTTTAAAAAAGTCTATCAAGTTGAGGTTTACAGCTCTTTTTTTATTTTAAATTTAAGCAAAAAAAATGTTCTCAATGAAAAATCAAGGTTGCAAGTTGCATTCCTCTAAGGCGAGAGAGAGAGAGAGAGAGAGACGATAAGAGAGATGATAAGAGAGGGAGAGAGATAAGAGAGAGAGAGATAAGAGAGAGAGAGATGATAAGAGAGAGAGATGATAGAGAGAGAGAGAGATGATAAGAAAGAGAGAGAGATGATGAGAGAGAGAGAGAGATGATAAGAGAGAGAGAGAGATGATAAGAGAGAGAGAGAGAGATGATAAGAGAGAGAGAGAGGTGAAAAGAGAGAGAGAGAGAGATGATAAGAGAGAGGGAGAGAGAGATGATAAGAGAGAGATGATAAGAGAGAGAGAGAGAGAGATGATAAGAGAGAGAGAGAGATGATAAGAGAGAGAGAGAGAGAGAGAGATGATGAGAGAGAGAGAGATGATAAGAGAGAGAGAGGGAGAGAGAGAGAGATGATAAGAGAGATGATAAGAGAGAGAGATAGATAAGAGAGAGAGATGATAAGAGAGATGATAAGAGAGAGAGAGATAAGAGAGAGAGATAAGAGAGAGAGAGAGAGATGATAAGAGAGAGAGAGATGATAAGAGAGAGAGAGGGAGAGAGAGATATGATAAGAGAGAGGGAGAGAGAGAGATGATAAGAGAGAGGGAGAGAGAGAGATGATAAGAGAGAGAGAGAGATGATGAGAGAGAGAGAGAGAGAATACAGAGCCAAAAGAAATCTCACCGCTCCAATTCCTTAGCCGCCATCAGCATAATATTATACGAACAGACCGCACTATCCAGAGAATTCCAATTCATCTGACTTTATTGAAATTCACAGCAAATCCAGTGTAACAGTGTATGTAACAGCAAATACCAGCACCACAAACCCCCAACCAGCTACAACCTCTCACATGTTTCACCCGTAGGCTTCTTCATAGAGGTTCTACTCTGAATAAGCCTACGGGTGAAACATGTATTGGAAGTATTGGAATTCTGTGGATAGTGCGGCCTATAGATAGAATATAGATTTGGTGTGTTGAATAGTAGAGCTGTGTTATTTTTCCAGTTCAGTAGGTGCAGCTTTTCATTGCGGCAGCCCCTTGCCGATTTATTTTACACATTTTGGCTGCCAATTTCATAAGAGTTTGACATCCATGACATGTTCTCATGTCATGGAACGCTCTTCTGCGTCTAGGAAATCTGTCGGCCAGATCTTCATAGTGGCAATGTGACGCCAATGGAGACATGAGGGATTGAAAAAAGGGAAGCTGGTTCTCCGGCCAGTCCTGAACTCTGGCTCTACACAAGGCAGCCAAAACATCATCTACCATGGTTTCAATTCACAGATTTCTCTATAGCATGTCTTAGGTACACAAGCCTTAGGACACTTTCACACGCTGGTTCCATTAGTCCATCTTTGACCCATGATTACTCGGATCAAAAAAGGACTGCATTGTATCCCTATGGGCAGCCAGATGTAAACAGATGTGTGACCTCCAATACTCGCTCACCTTTGTGTCCGTTTAGGTTCATAAGAACACACTATCTAAAGATTCAAGATCACCATCAAAAGATTGTGTCCATGTCTGTTTAAATCTGACCACCCATAATAAGTAATTGTATAAGTCCATTTTTCCTCCATCCAAAGATGGAGGAAGTTACCAGCCCACAAGATTTTTTCTAGGATCAGCAGGTATTTTTGCACTATTAAACACAGATACTTTCAATGGTGTATCTAACAGAATAATAGGGAGCAAGTAAGAGAAAATAATTGGTAGGGTTTACATACACTCTAATATAAACCGAATGGAAGATTTCAGGTCATAGGAAATAATGGAATTCATGCCAGTCCTGTGTCTGCCTAGATCTGAACAATCCTTGAGGCTTTGGAGGGGATCAGGTTTTAATATCTCACACCTGGGAGGGGGTTTCATCATGATGTGAGAGGCAATATAGATTGTAATGGAGGGTGTTAACGTGCTGCTTCCTTAGAATTTCAGACTAAGCTGACAGCAGAGAACAGAAGCCGTGCATGGACAGTATGTGTGTCTGAAAATATCTTTTGGTCCATCATCAAGCATTAACATGAAGTAGATTTGTGTGAACATCAAGACCAGTCCATTTTGGTGACTTACCGCACGCACATTGATGTGATGTATTTTGTGGATTATAATGAGCATTGCCTTGGAAGCCCATTGAGTTTGATGTTGGCGTTGTGTTGAAGTGCAGCATCTGATCCCACCTACCGTACTGGTGCATTGGGGTACCCTTGTAACTAAAGGGCATCACATTGCTCCATGTGCCATGCATTGCGATAACCTGCAGTAAAACATGTTACCACAACCCATAGGTCTGAAGGGCCAAAATCGGTATTCTAATTTTTGGTAGATGGTGGAGAATAAAACCCCCTGACTCTTCTAGCTCTTGGTGACTCTACTGATGTGTAGAGTACCCAATATGCCCAATATGGGGGGCTTTCACCATCCCTGCTGGATTTTTTAAATGTAACTGGAGTAGCTGGAACACACAAAGATATGAAGGAACCCCCAACAATCCCCAGTGTACAGAAACAAAGGTTGGGAATTGTGGAAGGGAGAGCTCGCTGTTGGAGCATCCACGAAATTAAAAAAGCCGGAGGCTGACTCAGCCCACTGGACTCCCCCTATAAATAAAATAATAATTTGTGGGTAGAATGTGTATTCACTATCCAAATACACTGTTCTCTTTGCTCCCCTCAAGACCCTTTCTCTAGCTCCTATATCACCTCCCCCCATGGTCACCTCCAAACTATCTCCAGAGTTTTTCACACCCTCTGGAGTGCTCTACCCCAACCTGTCTTGCTATCTCCTTCTCTCTTATAATAATAATAATAATAATAATAATAATAATAATAATAACAGGGACTTTGACTGGGAACAATGCATTGAGTTGATTTTTTTTTCCTGTACCTATGTGCTTTCTCTAACAGTCTGTTGTGCTCTGTAGGCGGACTCAGGAGCGAATGTCTGTCCATCCGCACCGGTTACGCCCCGGCTTCGACTTCAACCAACAAGTGCAGATGCCTCAACCTTTGGGGTCCCGGTACTTGGCTGAAGGCACTGACTGGTAGGTGGACATCCTGATGAATAAACACAACAAACATTTGCACTTATTAAAGTTAAAACTTAACTCCAGGAAAACAGTTTAATACAGTGATGTCAGTGGCATCACAAGGGGGGTGCGGCCCGCACCCGGGTGACACCATTGCAGGGGTGACACCAAAATGACTGACAGTCTGACAGTCATTTTGGTGTCAACCCCTCTAAAAAGTCAGGCACTCGGTCATGGACCGAGAGCCCGACAGTGTCAGGAGAGAGGATGGGACCTCCTCTCTCTGCAGGCATCAATCAGATAGCCGTGCGCGCGCAATGACGACACGGCGGGTGTCACCCGATCTTGGGACCGGGTGACATCCGGCCTCGGGACTGATGTAATGGAGTTGTTTTGTCTTCGGTTAAGGAACACTTAAACCTTCTTGTACCTCCCCCAGCCTGTGACTGGACATTGAAAGGAGAAGCAGCATACTGATGAGCTCCTCTCCCTATCACTCTTCTCCCTCCTCATATCAGTATGTCTCTTAGCACATGTGCCTTGCAGCACCACTGATTGGCTTCTTGTGCTACTTTTTCCTCCCTCAAGTCTCAAGCTGGAAATACATCAGTAGATATTCGTACACCGAACATTCATAAGAGAAATCAGAACATTCGATAATGCCATCAGAGACTTGACGAATGTCACTTTCCAGTTGAACATTTGATACTTTGATACACAAATGGACACTTGGTTGATGAATGAAGGTTTTGTTGCCGTAGTGGGAACGAGAAAGGAGCTCTGTATTATTATTTTTATCATTTTGGGTGTTTTATGACACTTTTATTTTAGCTGCACTGAATATATTTAAGGCATGAATTTGCTGACTTCCTGTTTGGCGTATCACACATATAGATAGTGCAAAAACATTCTCGCATTATATGGACACGCTTATTTACCCAAAAAGATCTCTTTACAAGTTTTTCTGCTAAAGAAACAAAAACTTGAAAGGATCGTACATTCCCTTTAAGGAACGCTGCCGACTCTAATATTTTGCATGATTTAGCGAAACGCCTAATTGGTTACACCGCCGCGAACGCGCTCATTAACGTAGTGTGCAGAGAGCCGCTAGCTCGGGATGATACAGTAAATGTATGTGCTCTGTGCGACATTAAGACTTTAGCTGCTGTTATAAAACAGATGGAGTTTCTGTTTCAAACATGATTTACTGGCACCAGCTGCTCTCGCGCTTCCCTTCGCCATGTGTTTACCGTAACAATAGAAGAATTTTTATAACGCTCAGCCCTCCAAAACTTAGAATGACTTCTCTGCCTGTCTACAGAACTCCAGACTTTGAGGCCCTGGCTCAGTTCTGGCTCAGTTCTGACATTATTTTTTTACTTAAATCGGAAGTGAACATTTTGTTTAAAAAAAAAACGTGCTGACAGGCGGGATTTTTTACGATAGAAGAGAGTAGGGGCTGATTATTAGATGTTCCACGCAGAAGCTGTGCAATTAGATGGTGATGGGCATTTTCTAGGGGAGCTAGTGCTGCACGAATAGCATTGGCCCAGCTATTCTGGCAGAGTACTAGCGCCACTAGGTGGTACTGAGGAGCATAGTAATTGTTTTGTGCTCCTCACCGCCATCTAGGGATGCTAGTGCTATGCAAATAGCATTGGTACTAGGCCACTAGATTGTGGTCTGGAGCGTAGGAATTTTCTAAGCCACTAGATGGTGGTCAGGAGCGTATGAATTTTCTGAGCCACTAGATGGTGGTTAGGAGCATAGGAATTTTTTGTGCTCCTCAGCGCCATCTAGGGAGCGCTAGTGCTGTGAATAGCATCCACCCAACATTTATAAAGCAGCCCCTGAGATGCTTCTATCCGCCTGTCAACACTTTTTTTTCTGTAGCTATATACTGAGCCGCTGATGCATAATTTTGGCAAGATTCTGTAATGGGACAAAGTGACCCCCATGCGCATGCACCAGAGTTACGTCATCTCGGCCTGGCCAGTCAAGATGGTGGCGGACTGAATGAAGATGCCACCTATGGAGGGGAGGACATACATCTCAGCGCTGGACGGGATCTCTTCTCTGGGTAAGTGTGAAATACAAGTGTGCTATGGCAAAATGCTCAATGAGGCCAAAAAGTTAGAATTTTACTTCCACTTTACACTGAACTGGGAATGGGATCTGATCATTATCTGCTTTAGCTTCTCTCC